AAAAATTGAACTATATATTCGTGTCACAACTCACAAATGTCCTCCTGAAGAGGAATATTATTTATACTGAATTATTCCTTGAACACAAATCACTATCCAAATATAAAAAACCTCTTTAAGAAATTGATTCAATACACGATTTAAAACATATCATAAAACACAAATAACACACAACTTGACTTATTCTAATACAATGAAAATAAACACTTAAAAAATCCAGGAACTCGATAAGATTGGGAAGCCCTACATGCCTTGCTTGATGGATGTGTAACCAACATTTAGAAACCCACTGATTTTAAGTTGAAAAACCTTGCTCGCTGGTTGAAATTAATTTCCTTGTAAGTAAACGAGATTTTCCAAAAACATTATGATAGTATAATCCCACATGAAATTTATGGATGTAACACCTTAATTGAGTAAGTTCTCCACCGAAACTAATCCTGTTTTGGTCGATTTAAAGAATTTCAATAACAACTATACACTTGAACTTTAAAACACATTACATTGAGAAAACGGCTATCCACACTAAAAAACTTGATATACATTGCCAAATAGGCACAATATAAATTAACACTACACGGCCAAGGGGAAACGTCAAATTTGTCGTCGATAGAGCCAAAAGCGCCGTATATTTTTCCTTTAAACAAGGTTGACCACACGCCTAATTATCGGGCTCGAATTTACTACGCTTATATATGATGCGAACCACCTAATTAATTAACACATTGGATGATTTCAAGGGCAACAATAAGCTACAAATTTTAACATAAGTTCGCGAATTTACTTTCTCTTCGGCGGAAAACTTTACACAATGGGCCAATCCCGTTAAAAACTAATGTGCAAAACGTAACATTAAACTGCGTACGAAATATCGACCGTCAACTTAAAACGGAATCACTTGTTGTGGTGCTTAATGCACGCGATGAAAATTATACGATCTCTTCGTCCGCCACACCTAATTCTAATTAAAATTTTTCCATCTAGCCTCCTACATATATCACGCCCCTTAATCGTTGCAAAATGGCTGATCTTGTTTATACTGGTACTCTCAATACAATGGCCTCCACGAACCACTTACTGGGAAACTACAACTAATTTTTCAAACGTTTGCAGAACCATTTCCCAAGCTGGCGGACAACGAAAAAAAGCTTATCTAAAAGAAACCGATATTACGTTAACTGCATCCTTTCACTGAAATATTCGGCCATATTTATTGCGAATCGCGGCATAGAAATTTAATACAAGAACCCAACTGATTCAACTAACAAAAGTACACACGCGAAAAAAAATTTACCCAAAAAAAAAAGGTTTAACCTAATCCAATTTTAGTACAAATCCAAATCGATATCAAATTCAAAATTTCGACGCCATCACCCAACCCCGTACGCAGGTTAAAACGCCGACAGCTACTCTACTGCCGCGCGCGGACCACCGCGCAGCCCTCTGTAAACAGACGAGTTGGAGGTAACACGGTCCGGTTGACGTGAATTATTGTGAAAATTGGTCATCAAAACCAATGAAAACTGAAAACGTTCAGACAAATTGTAGCTAAACAAGGGCTATATTTTGATTTGAACATTTCCGGATTCATACTAACAATAGAGTAAAAAAAACAAATACAAAATTTCAACAAGTCTACCGAAATACTTACCTAATTAAAAGATTTCTCATATAAGCACAATCCTTTAACTACCTAAATTTGTTCCAAAAGTTTTCTACTGGCTCATTACGGAATGTGGTACTTGAACAGCTACATTACATTTAGAATAATTTAAATTAAGAATCAAATTAAAAGTAAAAAAAAAACGAAGATCTAGCACACGTGGGTTTGGTTTTGTTGTGGATCTTAGAACAAATCGCAAATAAACAATGTCTAGGATATTAACCTTAAAAGATTAGAATTCTTAAATAAATTTTCCTAATCGATCGCATTTGCGCGGTAGAGTAGGCCGAGCATTCCGATACACTTAGTGGCTAAATCTATTTCCTGATCAAGCCGGAAGTGGCAATCCGCAAGAAAATTAACAGAATAACCGCAAGCAATAGAAAAATGCGAAGGCGGAAGGACAGAGCCCGCGCAGTAAGAACTGGGACCAAGACAATCCCAAGCTGGTAAAAGAGGAACGCGAAGCCACGACCTTGGACGAGGGAAGTCGCAGTCAAAAGCGCACGGAAGCGACCGAAAAAAGCCACACCTGGAGAAGATGAAAGTCACAGGGATATAAAGCCGCCTGCAATAAAAAGGAAGAGAAAAAAAGAAGTGACTGATTGGAAAGCATGTCGATAGGGACAACGAACATCCGAAACGGCCGGGAGATACAAAAGAAGCAATATGAGCCGAATCAGAATAGTAAAAGAAGACGAATAAACCTCCCACCAAGGTGAAGCAATACACTACAACCGATATAGGGAAGAAGAACTCCCCTACAACTATAAGATTGCCGCAAATAAGACAGACGGCATGGAGTCATGGGGTCCAGACGGTCTAAAAAAATACAGCCACATTTTCTGATCAAAGCCATGGAAGATTCACCTCTACAGGAATATACAAGAAAGTGAAAAGGGCTCCGGTGTGCGCATACGGAAGAAAGAACGGGACAAAAATCAGATCAACTAGACTCTAAGGAAAGACGGCAGGAGGGCACACCTACAAATCGTCCCCAAACAGTTAGCTCTGGAAAGGAGGAAAGAGAAAACCAACGCAGAACTCTAAAAAGACGGGAGTACTAAATGCTCACTAAACGACAGAATGCGCATAAAGAAGTCAATGACAAAACAGAAACTCCCAGATAATATACAGAGGACACCTATACTCACATTATATCACTTGCGTAAAGCTAAGCCGCCCGGCGAAAGTCTTTTTCGCTTCGGACATGATAGTTGATGGTGTCATCGGAACAAAAGACGAACAAGCAGACCATAAGCAGTAATAGTTAGTGATGAACGCGCAAGGTTCAAGGTCCCAAGAAAACCAAACACGTTGGTGTGAAACGTACCCCACAAACAATATTAGGAAGGAGCGACCCGCAAAAGGCCCATCGGATTAGTCCCAAAATATCGAAAAGCTCTTTGGAAACCGATGCGGGAGAAGACATGAAAAATAACGAAGTACAAACCAAGAATGCGTGAGCACGAAAGAGCAAGAGAGCAGGGCGGTGCGAATAGGAGACCGATCAACAGGAAGATAGGAAACAGCGGATAAGTTATATTTTTACCGAATTAAAATAATTTTGCTGTCATTGCCTCACTATCTCTCCTCATACAACACATCGGCGGACTCATCTCGTAACTGACTCGAAAAAAAAATTTCTCTTGTCAAATAAGTTTAAAACATCAGTGGCGTTTCTTTTTTTATCGACTGTGACAAAATCACATATGCTATATCATAAACGAGAAAATAACCTGTCAATCCAGCAAAAGATTAGAGTTGAAGGAATGGCCGTCACCGTACCGGGATTGCAGAGTTCCCACTCCCGTTGAGTACTGAACAAAAGTTTCATCAAAGATCATCTATTACAACTAACATAATCTTATATATAAGTCTAACCGGTTATAACATATCCAATGTCCAGTGGTGTTCTTCTTCAACGTCCGATACATCTTCAAATTCATATTAGACGAAGTAAACAAACGCTGCGACAATACGGAACTAACGATAATCAACAATAGTCCGCTCAAATTACCAAACCAGCGTAAATTACAAAGCCAAGGTTCGTCTTGATAATTTCCAATAATAAATTTACAAACAAATCAATATTGTTGATACCCTCAGGGAGTAAACAGCAAGTCTAAAAATTAAGTGTCATTACAGAGCCTAAATGTAACAAAAAGTTAAGCAATACTCACATCACTCGTATTCAACACCTTACGTTAATAAATAATTGAAATACCGCAACGACAGGCAGCATTGAAACCAATAATACGTAGTAAATGTATATATGCATAAGATGTTATAGCGCTAAAACGGATATAATTTGGTAATTGCAGACATGCCGAAAGTAACTTTCTTTGATGGCAACAGAAAAGTACTTCACAGCCTAATCAAAAATTCCAAATGCGAAAAATTATCGATCCTTCCGGATATTTTATAAATTAACAACACCACCCAATTCGGAGTGACCAATTTTCAACACTTCGAGTAACAAATCGACACATTAGCGTAATGACATCGTTTGGCTATAAATATCGAAGAGCATCTCTATCTACGTCCAACACCCACTGAACCGTAGGTCCCGTCGAATGAAAAATTCAGCAACAAAAGGCTTGCCAGATTCTTACAAATTATGGGAACATCGCAACCTGACATTACCGACGTTCTAGCACCGATGCATTTTCCGCAAATTCAAATTACATCTCCCACAACCGCTC